AAATGGAAAAACCAAAGCTACCCAGTTATGTTTAAGTGTTGAAGGGGCATATTCCCAGTCAAAACAAGTGCTCTAAATGTAATGGCAATCATAATTCTACCACTTAAACTAGTGTCTATATCTCTTTGGGAAGTGTTTCTCTGGGTGAGAGTTCCTAAAGGTATGCTGAGTGTTGGCGGTTCCATCTGGAAAGGAAACAATAAATGTATTTTAGTTACTAACATATCAAATGGCAGTTGTCATGTTATCCCTTTATCTTAGTTCCCCCTTAATTGACATTTGCCAACGTTTTCAATGTTCCTATACTTATAACAGTGACTATTATATATTTGTATTGCTATACAAGATTTACCTCTTAAATACCACCATGCGTTCATAGAGTAAGGATGCACTGATGTGTAGCGAATATGATATAGAGATGCTCATCATCATCATGTAATACAGAGATCATCATTGTTTTGCAATATGACCAGTACGCAAATTGCAGTCATATGGGTAACGTAGCTAGATTGTGTTTGGTTTTGGAAAATATTCTACTCGCTACTCAGCTTTTTAAGAATGTCATGTGATAGTTTGGTGACAAGCCGGGAAAAAGCATTGACATGTTCAAAGCATACGTATGTGCGTCTTTGCGACTTGCCACCCCGTTGCAGCAATAGTGAGAATTAGGGGGGGGGGGCGGAGCGAAGCCCCCAGGTAAGGAAAGGTCATACAGCTTTATGACAAAGTATTGTGGCAAAAAATGGGCTAACAATTAGGACAAAATATCTTCAAGACAAAGCCAGCTTTTTATTCTTTCAGCACGACTCTCGCACCATAGGATGTGGACAGAATGGGATAAAGAAGAGGAGAAAGGAAAAGTGGAGAAGAATTATCATTAATCTGTTAAAAAATCATATGTATTATTTAATAAGATATTTATATTTCATAAAATATATTAGTGTATTAAGAAGTTTAAAAGATATGAACAAATATCTATCCCTTGGTTCCCCATATATAGTACAGCTTTCTAATATATGAGATCTTGATAACACGAAGCGAGCCAGACATTAGCCATTCATGTGTTAATCCAGTGTGCCCTATTTTGATTCTTGTTAACACTACTACTATTATTCTGTTCACGTTGAAGCTTGTGATCGATACTAAGATTAATATTTCTTAACTTATTAGATGCTGTATATTTCCATTGGTTTCTCCACTTTCTTCATTTTTCTCTGATCTGGTAACCAGTATAGGACGATCTTTTGCCGTGATGGTGTCAGTATCACCGTATATAGTCTTCGGAAAAGATAAAAGACTATATACGGTTCGTATTTAGTCGCGACAACCGACTCTGTATTACTGGATGCCCTGTGATTGGCTCAGAAACTGTGACGTCACAACTGTTGTTTTAATTGAAAGGCTAATTTTTGTGCGCATTTAGTAATTCCCTCCAGCAACTATCTTTTAATTTTCATTATTGTCCACAGATTTGTCAAAATTGCATTTGTACTGGCCTATACCAAATAGTCTTTGGTCTATACTCGAGGATTTGTGGGTGGGGCTATGTGACGTCATCATATTAATGCCAAGAACCGCTATAAAGATATCTGTTTTCGTGTATATTTCGGTTATATCATATACTTCTGAAGTAAACTGAAAATTTTCGCTTTTATTTGCTCTTAATAATCGTTCTATGCTGTTAGCAACCTTCAAAAATTACATTTTCACTACAGACGCCAATGGAAGTTTCGCCTTCTGTTATATTTTCGTTGTCATTACTGTGTGGGTTATAATCCAAACTAATTTTGTTTACATATATCATATATGATGTATTGAATGCAAGAAAAGTAAATATATTCTATATATCTGCCTGTGATATCATATAAACAATTATCTTGTCATTTCTGGTATCTATCATCTACCATCTCGGACGTCATACCCGACCGACTCCTTCACTACTACGTCATCGCTACGTCATAGGGTACTGGAATAGCAGAAGCTATTACTGGTTTGACAGCCCTGTATACGAAAGATGGGAGAGCATGGCAAGTTTGTGAGCACCAACAGTTGTAATATCTGAACAATAGATGGCGCTGTGTGGTCTGTTTATTTACTATCGTGAAACGTCATTTGTTAAAAAAGGTAAGAAATGATTTTTTTGTTGTTGTTTTTTTGTTTTGCTTTTGCATGTTTTATGATTCCTGTTTTAACTGTAGGCCAGCTTTCATCAGTACTTTCATTAATGACGACTTGAAATAAAATAAAGCAATGTTTTACGTAAATGTGTTTTGTATATCCTCGATTTAATAACAAAAATGAATGAAAAACATGAATAATTCATTAACGCCGAAGGATTGAATGTAAGTTCGCAATTATTGTATTAATACCAAAAATATATTGTGCTATAAAATTGTATATTATTTAAACAATGGAATAATTTTATAATGCCATGTAAATGAGCATACACATGAGATATTCATTAGATATGTTTTATTATTATATTCTAAAGAAAAAGTGCAAAACCTTATTTTCATGTATATCAAGAAATCTTCTCTAATAAAAAGTTATTAAAGAATGGAATAATTATGTAATTCCACGGAATTTATATATATACATAGGTATATATGAATTAATTCTTTGATGAAAATATTTCGAAAAAAAAAAAAAAATGCAAGACCTACTGAAAAAAAAATTAAAAATATATAAATTTGTAGTCCCCCTTATGGATGTTCTCCTTTCTTAGATACATATCTGAACAACAGATGGCACTAAGATTTCTTTTCTTTAACGGCGATACGTGGTTTCCTATCTTTCATATATAGTCTACGATCTTTTCTATAGAGTTGATGACGTTGCCATTACGTATCAATAAAGGATTGTTAGGATTAACTAGCTCGTTCTGCGTATGTGCAGGATTGAATTTTGAGCTTAAAAGTTAGTGCTGCTCCGGAGGTGTATAAAAAGTTGATCCCAGACGCTGCCAATGCGCATGCACTCTAGAGATCTGGATTAAACTTTAAAACTGGTTTAGCTTTTACGGCTCATACAAGACGACGCCCTTACGCTGCATTCGAACTCCCGTCTTGCTCGTCCAGACAAGTTGGAAATGATTTAGCCGTTGGGAACCTACTTTCTCGACCCCCCCCCCCCCACCACCCCATCCCAGCAGCCGAGTAAGTACTGTCCACAATCTGACCAGTCGATATCCATAGAGCAGCTTGCTGGGGAGATAGAGGCGGTTCCAGTACAAGTATTAAGAATTGGATGAGGTTCTGCAGGAATGGGGTTGCCAGAGAAATCAGTTAGATTTGATAGTGTTATAGCTTCAGTTTCAGATGTAACTAACGGGACGGGAACGATCGGGTCGGGTACGGAAGGGCACTCTGCCCACTTGCTCTTGGAGATATTGTTAAAAGAAGTGTGTTTGAGTAAGGAGCTGTAGGGGGATCACGAAAAATCGGGTCCCATTTGGCTGGGCTAAATAGGGTATTTAAGATATTGGTAGAGTTGTGGTGGTAGAAGGACAGGAGTTGGAGAAACACAAGATATTGATAGATAATTTTGTCCTTTGAGGTTATCAAAGTATATTTCCGGCAGGTAAATTTTATATGGAGTGTACAATAAAGACACGAGGGTTTACTTTCGAGATGGTTGCATTCTGGGCAGCGAAAGTCTTTGGAGGTTTCGTCCTGCTGATCTAGAGTAGTCTGGACAAGCAAGATGAGTTCCGAACACAGCATTAAGATATTTTGAATGGATTTATGGAATCTTAAGAGTTCAATGGTGATTTTCCAATCCTGCTTACTTTGTACAAACAATTCTCGATACAAGGTCTTCCAGACGCTAAATGCCTGTCCACACTGAGCAGTTCGTCAGCCCATGACGTAATTCCTGTACGTGCCCACCTGTGCGCCCGACGATCGTGTGGACATGCTTTATTGACTATCTAGTTTACTGGATTTATTGCTCATATCCAACATATTAGAAATGACTTCATGGAGTTGGAGGAAAAATACCCGACATTCCAAGCCCAGTGAAGTAATACTGCCAGATATGGTAGGCACCTTTAGTTTTGCTAAATATTGCTTGAAACTGCTCATTTTGGCAAAGAGCCCATATTTTTCCTGATACGACAGTATGCAGGTGTCCAAATAGGCATTTATCCTTTGTGAACAGGTGTAAAGGCCCATCCACGTGATCATGCAGTATCTTAGAGTACAAGCAAGCAGTTTCCTTATGTTGGTGTTTCAGCTTTTGCACGCAAGCAAACCAGCTAAGTGCCCGTGTTGGTAGTTCAAAATCACCAGGTTTCTTGTAGTATGACCATTTAAACTTATTTCCCTTATCGCAACCTCACCTTGATAGAGCCTACTGCACCCCCCCCCCCTTAAAATCATCACATTCAATATAATAAGATTATCTACATACAGATTACAAGAAAGCCATTCTTATCTACATGAAAACAGGACAGTATATGAGAACATCCTTTTTCTCACGCCTTTTCACATCATAGAACTAATAAGACATTTTATAATTTTACACCAAATTTACACTTTACATTAGCTTGTACAAATCATCTGTTGACCACCTGTTCTGGCTTCTGCCCAGCTTTGCCTGGCTTAGTGTGTAGACAATACAGCTGCCTGCATACACAGCCCCAGTATGGGATAAGTGTAGCGTGCTCAATTGTGGGGGGGGGTTACAGAATGTTTTAAGGTTTGAAAATAAATGTGCTAGACATTAAAGGTCATATAGCAATATGGTAAAATATTGTGTCGGAAAGGGCAAGAGTTATAAATTACGATAAAAAGTTTGACACGTCAAAGGTTATAGAGCGTTAATTAGTAAGGTAGTGAAAAAAAATACGGAAACAAATGAGAAAGGGCTATTTTACTCAAACTTGAAATGTCACGATTGAGATTTTCTAGAAATAAGAAAAATCTTCCATTTTCACAGAGCTAACTACCTAATAGATCAAACTTCTCACTACACTAAGTATATGAAGCAGTTAAACATCGTTATTGCCGTACATTTTATTTAGATTTTTTTTCAGTTCATGCTAATTTAAGCAGCAGTTCCAGATAATGTTAAATAGTATTGATTTTGTTTTCAGAAATGTACACAAAACACCACAAGGCTTTTGATCATGTAATGGAAGTGTTCTATTGCTTGCAACAGACGTACATTATTACTGAAGTTACCGATGCCAAAATAAGCTATTATGGTTTGCCCTTGATGTAATCCACAACAGGACTATAGGAATTACGGTCGCCATGACCGTGGGACTGACCACTATATGAATCTTCGTAGTCTCCGTACACGTTGTCATAATTATAAGAATCCTCATAATCCCTATAGGTGTTACCATGGCCTTGGTCGTCATAGTCTTCATAGTAGTCATAGCCATCATATCCTGTGTGTGGGTCATCATAACCCTTGGGCAAGTCGCCATGTTCCTTATGTGGGGTTGTGTACCCAGTGTGAGTGCTATCGTGGCTCTTGGTTGGAGGCACATAACCTGTGACAGTAACACTATGACCCTTGGATGGTCGTGCATGTCCTTTGGACGGTTTTGCAAAGCCAGAAGTTGGGGTATCATACCCGGAATGAGGTTTTCCATGGCTGGAGGGTAGGGTTTCATAGCTGGAGGGTGGGTCATCATACCCAGTAGGGTGTGTATCATAGCCGGAGGGTGGGTCATCATACCCAGTAGGGTGTGTATCATAGCCGGAGGGTGGGGCATCATACCCAGTAGGGTGTGTATCATAGCCGGAGGGTGGGGCATCATACCCAGTAGGGTGTGTATCATAGCCATCATACCCAGTAGGGTGTGTATCATAGCCGGAGGTGGGTCATCATACCCAGTAGGGTGTGTATCATAGCCGGAGGTGGGCATCATACCCAGTAGGGTGTGTATCATAGCCGGAGGGTGGGCATCATACCCAGTAGGTGTGTATCATAGGTGGGGCATCATACCCAGTAGTGTGTGTATCATAGCCGGAGGGTGGGGCATCATACCCAGTAGTGTGTGTATCATAGCCGGAGGGTGGGGCATCATACCCAGTGTGTGTATCATAGCCGGAGGCATCATGTGGGGCATCCCAGCAGGGGGTTTACCATATCCAGAGGGTGGGGTATCATACCCAGTAGCGTGTGTATCATAGCCGGGCATCATACCCAGCAGGGGGGCCGGAGGGTGGGGCATCATACCCAGCAGGGGGTTTACCATATCCGGAGGGTGGGGCATCATACCCAGCAGGGGGTTTACCATATCCGGAGGGTGGGGCATCATACCCAGCAGGGGGTTTACCGTATCCAGAGGGTGGGGTATCATACCCAGCAGGGGGTTTACCGTATCCAGAGGATGGGGCATCATACCCAGCAGGGGGTGTACTGGGGTGGGGCATCATACCCAGAAGGGGGTGTACTGTATCCAGAGGGTGGGGTATCATACCCAGCAGGGGGTTTACCGTATCCGGAGGGTGGGGCATCATACCCAGCAGGGGGTGTGCCATATCCGGAGGGTGGGGGCATCATACCCAGCAGGGGTGTGCCATATCGGAGGGTGGGGCATCATACCAGCAGGGGGTGTACCATATCCGGAGGGTGGGGCATCATACCCAGGGGGTGCCATATCCGGAGGGTGGGGCATCATACCCAGCAGGGGGTGTGCCATATCCGGAGGGTGGGGCATCATACCCAGCAGGGGGTGTGGAGGGTGGGGCATCATACCAGCAGGGGGGAGGGCATCATACCAGCAGGGGGTGTGCCATATCCGGAGGGTGGGGCATCATACCCAGCAGGGGTGTACCATATCCGGAGGTGGGCATAGGGGTGTACCATATCCGGAGGGTGGGGCATCATACCCAGCAGGGGGTGTACCATATCCGGAGGGTGGGGCATCATACCAGCAGGGTGTACCATATCCGGAGGGTGGGGCATCATACCCAGCAGGGGGTGTACCATATCCGGAGGGTGGGGTATCATACCCAGCAGGGGGTGTACCATATCCGGAGGGTGGGGCATCATACCCAGCAGGGGGTGTGCCATATCCGGAGGGTGGGGCATCATACCCAGCAGGGGGTGTACCATATCCGGAGGTCGGGGTATCATACCCAGCAGGGGGTGTACCATATCCGGAGGGTGGGTATCATACCCAGCAGGGGTGTACCATATCCAGAAGGTGGGTACCCAGCAGGGGTGCACCGTATCCCGTACCCAGCAGGGGAGGTATCGTACCCAGCAGGGGGTGTACCATATCCAGGGGGGTATTGTACCCAGCAGGGGTGCGGAGGGTATCGTACCCAGCAGGGGGTGTACCATATCCGGAGGCAGCTATAGGGTATCGAGCAGGGGTGTATGGGGTATCGTACCCAGCAGGGGGTGTACCATATCCGGAGGGTGGGGTATGATATCCCGAAGGTGGTGTATCATAGCCGGCTGGGGGCGTACCATAGCCAGAGGGTGGGACATAATTGGTGTTAGGTCGAGGATGGTGCCCACTGGATGGAGTGCCAAAACCATGCATTGGCTTAAGTGGATCAGAATAAGTTTGAGAATGACCACTGTGCCTCGTGGGGTGGCTTTGACGTCTTGGTGGCACGTAATGGTCGAAATTGTGTGAAGTTGAGGCTCCAGTGGGTTTGTGTGGAATACTGTATGGGTGTTTTGCAGGCATTGCTGATCCATCTTCAATGACTGAGGTAATGAAGGGCAGGTAGAAAGCTACGTCAACAAAAGCAGTGGGCAGATTGGGCTTGCATCCTACACCCCATGACACCAATCCTGGAAAAGTTAATTTATCGTAAGATTAATACGAAATGCATGCCACTGATAAAAACAATCCATTATTTTTGAAGATACTCGAGCAATCTTGAGAAAATTAATTACCTCTTATGGCGTACTGGCCTGAAGACGATTTGCACACAAGACCACTCCCACCATCGCCCTGTTAATAAGAAACTGGTATATAATTCCCTAAACATAAAAGGTTATGTATCACTGTAGGAAGGTATAGTAGCGAAAAAGGGTAGATGGGGGAGGGGGCAGGGGGAGATAATGATTTAAGTTACTCTAAGGGCAAACAGGACTTTAGGATATGATATTGAAAAGTAAATGTGTCCGGGGGAACATGGGGATTGATGGATGGACGAATGGAGGTCAGCAAATAAGAATAATGTAAATACAAGCATGAAAGATGGTACGAATACTGTAGGTAACTTCAAAATCTGCACCATTTGCCTTTTTTATAATCCTAAACTGATATATTCAAAATAGGTACCAGAACAGAAAATACAGACTGCTTATAAAACTACGAGTATTGCCGCGATTTTGATCAAACAGTTTCTTGAATGTTTATGCAAACCTCTTTAATCCTTAATTAACAGGTAACTGACAGGCTGAGGGTCAAAGCTGCTTGATCCCAGGCAATGTCTGCTTGCTTTTCGACTTCATTAACGTTGGTTGTACTTTTCAAACTTTTCGATGCCGGATATTTTCATCCACTGTTCCTGGGTATTGACTCCACTTTGTAAAAGTCTTGGTAACTTCATCAAACCCATTCATAGTCTGCCAAAACTGATTTTTGCCTCTTCCAGCAAAAGAGGCATCACATCCAGTGAAGGTACGAAAGCAGCAATAAACTTGTTTTCTTATGCCCCATTGCAGTCCATCTAGCATTGGTTCCGTGGATTAAGCAACCTACACCCCCCCCCCCACCAAAAAAAAGTTCCTACGATTTCCTCAACTGAAGAATACAGTTGAGTACCACCCCAGGCATCCGAGGTATATAGCCGTGTCTCTGATGCCTTGTCTCTACCTGGTGATATTATTGAAAGGTCCCTTACATTGTTACAGACCGCATTCTCAATCCTCGTTGCAATGATACTGCAAGCATTATCATGTTTAATTTTGTTTTCAAAGACATTTGTCCTTCATCAACCTTTTCCAGTGGTTTGGATTTATTATAGTAGTTCCTTTTACCCTTCTCCTGACCTTACTTTGCTTGGATCATGTCATACTCCGATTTGGTAAGGTACAAAAATCTTAACCCTCTTGTAAATAGCAAGACCACCATTGCATGGACTCTAGCTTAGTCATCAAATATGGCTGCGGCAAGTGGAGGAAGTGCACCAGTTAATGATGAGCCTAAAGGACTTGACTTCTGCTCTTGGTTCCAGGTCTGATAACTGATCAACATACTTTATAAAGGTTTCATATTTCTGACGTACTTGTTTAAAGCATATCTGATTTACAGCGTATCCTTCAATGATATCTTCTACTTTGCACTCTTCAAACCTTGTCGATTGTCCAACAGTACAGTATGATTCTTTTTGGATCATTAGAAAATAAATTCTTCCTAAAAGATCTTCCTGAAGATCTTCCATGAATGCTTTGAACTCCTCTTGACTCTTGGCCCTTCTGTGATGGTACAGACCATTGCTGCAGTGGCATCAGAGATTTCCAAGTAGATGAATCTTCTTGGAAAGGGTTGCTTACTTCTCTTGTCAAGGTATTTTGGGCAGCCAAAGTTCTGTTCTGTTCGCCTCACTCTTGGATGACTTTCCTCTGGTACACCTGTATGGACTTGCTTGTTGCAATTTTGCATACTGCATTTGATTATGATATTGCACATAGACAGGAGTATGTGAATGGCCAAAGATTCATGTTATGTTCATGTTCTTTGTACATTTAAACATGAGATGCTTTTCATTGACATCCTTTCCATCGACATCCTGATAATATGCTATAACTTATGAAGGGGTCTGTATACAAGTACCAAGCACCAAGGTTAAAAAATGTAGGCAGCATTATGCTTCTGCCTGGCATTGCCTAAAGTGAACCTAAGTTTTAAACATGTGTGATTGCACAGAGCAGTTTGAATGATCATGACCAAATTGGGCAGAGGGCAGTAGGCTGTGCAGTAACAGCTTGTTGGACAAGGAATGACTGCCAATATAAACCTCTTGGAGGAAGGGTTAATCTGGTGAAGGTTATCTTAGTAATACTGGTGTAGGATTTAAAACTACCTCTAGGAGGAACAGTGTAGCAAAGTACTAAGCGAGGCTGGCCAGGAATAGGGTTTGCCAGCGAGTTCAATCTAGCAGACAATGCTCGAGTTTGGGACTCGGATGCAACTACAAGGAATAAATAAATGGAGAAGGAAACTTGTTGGAAAAGAAGGGCACGGGCAGAGTAAAGGGCTATAGGAGGAATAAACAAATCAGATCTCCATTGACTGGTCTAAAGAGGGGACAAGGATGGCAGTGGTGTAGAGGACAGTAAGGATAAGTGGTTATCAGGGCGGAGTGGGGCTGAAAAATGAAGACTGAAGGGGGGATGTTGGGAGAGAGGAATGCATTCTAAAAGTTGATCTGGATGGACACTTTAGAATGAATTGAATTCTCAACAAGGATAGAGAAGGGTTAGCAATACCGTTGGTCAAAGGGGGTGAGGAGATTAGTTAATAAAAATTTACGTGAATAAAACCTGTGAAACAATGGAAGATATTCCAAATATTTAGTACTCGGCTTACAGTTTAATTTTACGAGTGCTAGTGATTTGCATCATGACATGGCAATAAAGTGCTCTCAACGGAAATTTCTTCAAAGATCTAAAAATTCTAAGCTTGAATAGGAATAGTTTCTAGCTCTTAAAAATGTGTCAGGAAAAAACAGGTAAGGTCTATACTCAGTCCATGAATAATATTATCGTTTTTCTATGATTATTGAACTAATCTCAAAATAAAAATTGGCAATATTTACCCAATATTCTACAATAATTATCTACAGTACACCGGATTACCAGATAACGAATAGTACGCCTTTCTATGGAGAAAGGACAATCCCAGCCTCCCTCGCATCCCTCATCCCTACAAGATGTACCTTCACTTCGTATGCTCTGTGATAGTGAAATCTCGTCTGTTCTCAGCCAACAGGAGCCGAGCCTGTTATTAGCACTCCCACTTTTATCTTATTTTTCAGTTCTAATTCATTTGTACTAATTTATATCACCATACTTCTATACATATGTTCCAGGTAATACCTTTGATTTTTTTTTTTTTTTTTTTTTTTAGGAGGGGGGGAAGGTTTCAGATTGGCGGCTCGTCATGGATCACGTTGATTTTGCTATCGATGGATTCCTCTCACATTCCAATACCTTTGTAATTGTCCGAAGCTCTATCCTTCGGTAAATACATGGTGGATTTTGTTGTCTTTAAGGGAAGGGGTTGAAGGCGCAGTCCCCATGAGGGGGTCACAGGGGGTGTAGCACTGTGGGGTCTTCTTGTACACTATAGTCGTTTTATATTAATTGTATTCTGTTCATATTTTACCCCACCTTTTCCCTGGTACCTTTTATGCCCTCCCCTACTATCAGGGCCAAGACTGTCGCTAATAGGGGTGTTTGGGGGGTGGGGTTCCTAATAATTTGTATACATTTGGAAACTAGAGAAAGGAATACATTGATGCCATTATCGTCGTAATCCAGGACGAGCCGTATGAATATTACTTGGTTATCCTAGATTCATTCCATGTTATTCAGCCATTTTGCCATTTAATTACATGACAGTGAAATCATTACATCACTTACCAAACACATTTTGGGATCCTTCGACTTGGCACACAATATCCCCTCTTGAAGTCTGAAGAAACTGCCCAGGGACGGAAAAGCCCTCAGACGATACTGACAATCTTCCCTTGTGATGGTCTGATATTTGGAATAACGGAGTTTGGAGTTGAAATCCGTGGTTGGTTTGTAACCATCCTGAAAAATGGAGGGAAAAAATGTGTTGAGAAAATTTTTTTAAAATTAGTTAAGTATTTCTTGTGAATGCCTCCAAAAATTGTATATTTACAATGCTATGGATAATTGATTAAGATTTTCTCCAGTTACTCGACCACAAATCTTAAGCCTTCTCCAAAACCCACAGAACCTAAAGCACCCTCCACAAGATGCATGAAAACTTGTTCCAGCTAACCTGCTGCCATGAACATTTGATTTCCAATGTAATAATTTTGTAAGTTATCTTTGCACAATAAGGAATGCACCACTCACTCGATTATTTCCAACCTGTTATTTATAAACCGTATTCATATTTACACATTCGTATTTACATTTGAAGTATTACTGTCCCGACTGCAACTGGACACTCATCAGTTGTAGAAACCAAAACTACAGGGTTCAGTGACATTCTCCTATCCGTCTATTCTGTCCTCCATTACTAGTTATAATAAAACCTTTCACCCTAAGATTTGTTTGACTTAAGCCATACTAGTCAAGCCTTTCTTTGGTCAACTCTTGAAATAAGAAGAGTCGTCGTCTTCACTACCATTAATGAACTATTGGACTTGTGGTATACTCGCATGCTTGTACATGAAACACTGGGGTGAGGCCTACATACCCACTTCAGTCCACAATTACTTGGCCACTAAGGAATCAATTACTGGTTTCATCGGATTTCATGTGTAATTTTGTTTATGGGGAAAATATCCCTAATGCTTGTAATAGTCGACACTTATTGACATTATAATCTTAACAGTACTAATAGCGGTAAAAAAACAACAAAAAAAAACTTTTCTGAATACGAAGACAGGGTTAAAATAAAAATGAATGACCGGCAGGACTACTAATTGACACCTTGGTGACTAAGCACTTGGGGACCCATTATCTGGACAAAGTTAAATTACAGTCGATATGGTATATATGTATACACCCTCTTCACCGGTAGTGATTTAAGACAATTCCTATTCTCAGTACCCTAAACTGTCCGTACCTCTGATTGCAACACAGCAGTCCAAGCAGCGACATCACAGTCGTGCCCACTTGTGTCCTTGAGCTCGCCAGGAAGGCACACCCGGTTCACGTTTTGGAGATGAAGCACGGAGGCTTGCAACTCTAATACGGCCACATCTGCTTTCAGGTTGGTCTTCATGTAATCTATATTAGTAAAGGAATTGTGTTAAGAGTAGAATATTGGGGAAAAATTAGGAGACATTCCCGCATAAAATATTTCAGTTCATTTCCATGGCCTTGGATTAAGATAAAAGATCATGGGAAATTAGTACCAAGAATCCTTTTTAAAGTTAATTCATATTCCTCATCCATATTCAATACGGGGGTTTATCTTGCATGAAAAATGTTATATTACAATTGGGAGTGGTGAAAACTAATCTTGAGACTGCCTTAACAAAGTCAGATTTGTTGCTCAGACTCAAGATGTTCATTCTATTATAATTTTGTTAATACAGGCTTTTCGTTATTATGGCTCTGAAATTAAGCATTTTCATGTAAATTAATACGCATTCTAATCGCTCCCTTTATCAAAATCTGCAAAAAGCAAGAAAGAATGGAAACATCACACGAGATCAGTCCACCCTTTGAGAAGAATTACAAGGCTAATGATCAGAAGAATAGAATAAGAATTGGAAAAAAAATCAAAAGGAAGAGATTTCACCACGACTTTGTGTAAATGAACTCTTCTTTCCCATTCATTTACTAAAATGTACAGACTTTTATGACTGAAGTGTTCTTTGTACTATTCTTTGTATAAAGCCGTTTTCTCACGAATTTGTGGGAAATTCGCACTGGTTTAACATTAGCAAAAAATGTGCTAATCGGGTTTCTTTAGTTTCATAAAGTGAAGCCTCGTACTCCATTAACCTAGTTTAAGAGTAAGAATGCTAGGATTACACAAATTTGATCCAACTGTGGAACCAGAGTCGCCAGATTTATGATCACACACTCCTTGGGGGTAAGTACAGTTGGGGAAAGACCCGGATTAAGGGCTCATGAAATGTATATTGTACACTTGCAAAAGATGTTCGAAACTCAGCCTAGTTTATCCTGTTGGAGGACCATTAAGTAACCAAAGCAAGAAGCACGGTAGTTTGAAATGAAGGAGGAATTGGGGTTAACTAGTAATGTTACCCTGGTTATAGAAGGTGACAAGGAGTGCACTGGACCTCAAAATGGTCTTAAGTAAACAAGTAGCCTATACAAGTAAACACTTACGTGGATGGAGGTTCACTCTCCTAACACTGACGTCATATGCCTGGTACGAGTGCTTTGTCACCGAGTGCAAGAGGTCGTGGTCGCCAACTCTTACCTTCAGGTTCTGCCCATAGATCTGTGGACAAAAAAAAAATGAGTTTCAAGAGCTCACTGATTAAAACAACATCTAAACAAATCTTAAATTCTGAGTGGCACAAATTATGTAGGATGAGTTGTTTTTTTTCAAGCAACAAGTGATACAAAACGAAACTACTGCAGTCAGAGCCAGTAACATGGAAACTGCCCTTCCATTTCATATAAATAATTTTCCATATGAAGTGGAACCGCCTTAAAGAATGCCAAAACATAACGGCAGAATTGTATTTTCATGTTGCACAATTTCTTCATGCACATGAGCGTTAAATTCATCCATACATAGAACTCCTTCAATAAATTATATACATGATTTTCCTGCTTGAAACATCTTTCGTGAAATAAGCTGTTAATTGGAAATATGAATTTACAGAATATTAATCGAGGAATATAGAGCTCAACCTTAAAAGACTTTCAAGCATTACTTTGATTACTCGTCTCATTCAAGCATAAACCTGATATACATGCATTTCAATTACTCTAAAAACTACCACCTTACCTCATCAACGCAGTGTGCAACAGTCAGCACCCATCGGTTACCAATCAATGCACCGCCACACAGGTACTCATTTTTCGAAGACAGAACTGCTACCTATTATATGGGTTTATATTATGCATTAAAATAAAATATATGAGTGTCACAAGTTCTTAATATATCAAAATGTCTAATAAAATAATTTTGTACTGACATGCCATGGATACTGTTTGGGTGTTGCTTCGCCGGAATACGCGCCTGATCGTGCATACTGCGACATATCCGAGCATGTCCCACACTTCTGTTGAGAGAGATGGTCGAATCATCGACCTTTTTTCCCCCAGTTTATGTCTCAAATTATCAATATTTCTTTACTGCCACTGCTTAATAATGAATTTGATCCATCGACTGGAGCACAATGCTATTAATATGCCATGGTTATATGGTCAGTACCCTAAATTACACTGCACTTAAGAAAAGCATTTGTACTCCAGCATCTTGCACTCTGCCTTCCCTAGTGCCCATTCATACACACCTTACTCTTGGTACTCCCAGCTGGAGGTCTTATCCCATGACGGAGTGGACTGGTACTCTGAGGCAACACAATCCCTGCAATAAGAGGAACTTTTGTACATCTGTATCCAAGTGGAAGAAAATATTGAAGTAATGATAGGAGCATATCTATGGGAGAAAGCCGAGATGATGATAAGAGCATATCTGTTTCTCTTAAGAGGTTGGGAGATGTTGGGTATGAAAGCACATCCTTTTTAGATTAAAAAAAAAAAAACTTTAGCGACCCAATTACGTTTGTGGAATACAGGTTGTTCAAGAACCGAGTGAAATGGTGAAGACCCAAAACAATTTTCTAAGCGCAGAACTCGGTTTCATCAACCCACGATCTCCGGCGCATTTTGACGGCAAGTTATTTGCTCAGTACGGTTTTTGACAAAACTTCTTGTCCAGGTATCTTTGTTTGGTTCCATTTCGTACCCGAACCATGTATTTTCAAACTGCCTCCAGGGGAAACTCGCTTCAATGACGTCATAATAGTTAACCGCCAACAGGTCTGAAGGAAATGAGGGATTACACAATGAAATTATCTTGATTTTTGCCACAGATACAAATTTCCAAGTTGTGATCATCTGTCCCGACTCTAGCTTAGTTGTATTATGGTCTTTCCGGCGAAGTTTGAAGAATTTTTCATTTGCCTTTTTTAGTGATATTGTGCGTCGTTCGAGCAGCCTTAAATCGAAAGAAAATAGCAAGAAACAGTTACATTACACATCAATTTAAGTGGATTGGCTCTTCCTACCCCGTCTGCGTAATCATAGTGACCAGACCGAGCAAGGATTTTGATGGACTACATGAAATTAACATTCATGCCTACGAGAATTTTGAAGTTACTGCCGCCAAAAATACTCCTAAATGCGAGACACGAAAAATAATGCCGAAGGTAATACAATCAATACATGAATGTTTAAAACCAGGAATCGAAAAGACGAAGCAGAAACTAATAGCATTTTACTAAATTTCCACGCACTCAATATTTTCAGAGCAGCATAAAACATTTCAATATGAGACACACTAAATGGGATTTTTTATTATATTATCAAGGTTTGCGAAGGGTGAGGTGGAAATATCCAGTGAGCAAAATAATATTTCCTATGTAATTGAAAATGCCCAATCCACTTGCATCTGCTGCTGATAATTTTAATACGTGATCCGAATTTTAAAACGGGGGGGGGGGGGGAGTTGCGTTCCAATATACGGGACTAACACAATGAAACCCTAAATGACTGTACACTAAACTCGACAACCTTCGACCTAACAGAAGAGACGACGCACCAGTTACATTTTCTGGATAGGAAAACCACGCTATCCACAAGTGCAAGAGGCGCCCGTCGAAGGCTATTAATACAAACCTGTTGGTAAGGAGTGAAAAACAACTGCGCGTGTGGGTGTATGTAGGTCGCTAAGGTGTACAGTGTAAGTCGATATTCGCAAAAAAATATTGGGTAATTATCTGTTTTATTGCTTACCTATTTCATTTTTCACTCATTTTTACTTTCATTATATTCGAAACATTTTGCCTCACCAGTACAACTTAATCTAAGAACACCTGATTTATGGTGTCCATTCCCATACTACACTGCAACGAACTTTGATTTGTGTTATCCTGCTTTCCATACGAATTAACCGACGTTTTAATTAATTCTCATATGTAACACTGAAAAAGGCATACTAACTGGATCAGTTTTTTATAAGGATTAGTACAGAAGAGGAGCCCAGGCGACGGACAGGAGCGTAGGAAAGAAAAATAGGAAAACTATACCATTACTTAGATGTCAGATTGGGTGTTTTAAGTTTCTTAAAAGCAGCTGCACCTTTTCTGTTGTTGTTAATGGAATTTTAAATATTAGTAAAAGTTAATTGAAATTTTACGATGAAAATCTGCGTCTTATAAACTGGGGCGTCATTTCCAAAACGAATTATTTTTGGGGTATTTTAAAGCTATGCCAAGAACTGTGTAATTGGGGAGTAAGAGACTGCGAGAAGTCGCAGGAAGGGGTAACCGCCCCCCAGCCACTCCCCACCCCCCAACTGAAGACCCTGCTTATAAATGTTGGTTGCCCGTCCTGCAAATTTAAAGGAGTTATCCCAGTAAAGAGGAGAGCACACGAAGATAGGTTGATCAAAGAAAACGAAAAGACAGCAGGGGTAACTACACTAACCAGAATAAATATCGCAATCCATGCTCAGATTGCTATTTCTTTTGCAAGTAATGTTACCGTAATACCTAAACTTTTTACACACCTGGGTCAGTATCTCGCCGCCTGCGTCTTTTACGTTTTACAACCTGTACGTCCTCGGTATCCACCTCGGAATCTGGCTGGGATTGGTCGTCCGCTAGAACCGACTCGTCACTGGCTTCGTCGGTCTCAGAATAATCTTGGGACTCGTCGCTCGCGGGAACCGATTCATCGTCATCTTCATTCTCAGACACTGGAAGAAAAAAATGACGCGTCAATTTGAATATATATTGGTAAATGTCCTGTCGTCAAAAAAACATTAAGGTAAAAGCGAATAAATTAAGGAAATAAAAGTGGGGAAGGACATTAGCTCTGAACCTGTGCGCCATGACTCGCAGTCAGTCTATGGCACAATTAACTGCTGGACCGGATATACTCTCCTGGGTTAGGCGAAAGACGGGTTCATGTAGGAGGAAGAGGGCCAGGAAAAGAAAGGAAGAGAGGGGCCAGGGGCCAGGAAAGAAAGGAAGAGAGGGGGCCAGGAAAAGAAAGGAAAGAGAGGGGCCAGGAAAAGAAAGGAAGAGAGGGCCAGGAAAAGAAAGGAAGAGAGGGCCCAGGAAAAGAAAGGAAGAGAGGGGGCCAGGAAAAGAAAGGAAGAGAGGGGCCAGGAAAAGAAAGAAGAGAGGGGCAGGGAAAAGAAAGAAGAAGAGGGCCAGAAAAGAAAGGAGAGGAGAGGGCCAGGGGCCAGGAAAGAAAGGAAAAAGAAAGGGGGCCAGGAAAAGAAGGAAGGGGCCAGGTAGGGCCAGGAAAAGAAAGGAGAGGCCAGGAAAAGGAAAAAGGAAGGGGCCAGGAAAGAAAAGGAGAGGGCCAGGAAAAAGAAAGAAGAGAGGGGCCGAAAAGAAAAGAGAGGGGCCAGGAAAAAGAAAGAAAGAGAGGGCCAGGAAAAGAAAGAAGAGGGGGCCAGGAAAGAAAGGAAGAGAGGGGCCAGGAAAAGAAGGAAGAGAGGGGCCAGGAAAAGAAAGGAAGAGAGGGGCCAGGGAAAAAAAGAGAGGGGCCAGGAAAAGAAAGGAAGAGGGGGGCCAGGAAAAGAAAGGAAGAGGGGGGCCAGGAAAAGAAAGGAAGAGGGCCAGGAAAAGAAAGGAAGAAGAGGGGCCAGGAAAGAAGAGAGGGGCCAGGAAAGAAAGGAAGAGAGGGCCAGGAAAAGGAAAGGAGAGAGGGGCCAAGAAGAAGGGGCCAGGAAAAGAAAAGGAAGAGAGGGGCCAGGAAAAAGAAAGGAAGAGAGGGGCCAGGAAAAGAAAGGAAGAGAGGGGCCAGGAGAAAAAGAAAGGAAGAGAGGGGCCAGGAAAAGAAAGGAAGAGGGGAGCGAGGGAGCGAAGGGAGAGAAAGAAAAAGGGAGGGAAAGAAACTGAAGTGTAATACGCCTGAGAATTGGAAAATGCCACCAAAAATCCAACCTCTAAAAAATAAAATAGTATGGAAACCTCTGACCTTGGTTTATTCTAATATCCTTTCTTAAAGCGATATTAACACGAGAACTTTGTCCCTAAAATGTTGATTCTTATTACAAATCCCGAATTGGGCGAAAGGCTTTAGTTCTAGGAAGTAAAGGGGACTAGTCATCAATGATAAAATACTGTCTAGAAGATAATAAATCTTATAAATAAACAAAAATTAAAACGCTTTCCAAATAATAATAAAAAAAACATTGCTACTTCCGACGAACTAGAATTTAAAGAAAATGCTGAAAGGGAGAAATCTAAATTCCAAAAGTGACAGATCCAAGATAAAACGGGACGCTAAAACAGTGGACTATTTCCCCTCCATCACTGTACATTAATCCCAAGTGCGCTTAGGTACAATGGGCAAGGAATGCAAAGGAGTACAAAAAAAGAACTCCACGTACTTGTACTGGATAATCTGAAGCGGAAGAGATTGAATGAACTTTCCTCTGTAGTCTGCTCTTCTTCATGGATGACCTGGAGGAAACTGTTCTCGGTGCTCGCCACGATGAACGTATCTAGAAAAAAAGAACAACATTAAAAGCAAGATCTTCCTGGCTCAATGTCTCATGAATAAGAGAATGATGGTGTCTATCACATGTCCTTGTGTGAATAACACGAGCTTTAGAAGAATAATTCCGAAGGCACTTTCAAACGCAAGGTGGTCCACTTTCACATTTGTCTCCGTAGGAAAATTCAGGAGATCATAAAATCAAGGTTTAGGAAACACGCAGCAACATTAAGGCAAAATATTGAGTCAAATTTGCTGCGAAAGCCACCATCCCCCCCCTAACTTAATTCTGTAAAACCAATTCAAAATCGCGATTGATACCCTGTTAATAATAATAATAATAATAATAATAATAATAATAATAAACGGTCAGCAAGCCAGTCAATATGCCTTGGTGACCTAACTGAATTCGTGAATGGTTAGATATAAACAAGAATGATACATGAACAACCCTGTCTAGCTGTGAGACGACTACCACCGTCTCTGACCATTTTCCCCCCAAGTTAAAACCCCAGAACGTATACAAATGACTTACGATAACCCGCATTCATCGCTATGGGGGGATTACCTTTATTCTCCTGTTCGAATTTCGTGACATAATCAACCATGGATGTGACAACGATATGCGACTGGCAGCAGGCGAAGGTTTCCGTCTCTTCGGTGCTTCCGCAGACGTACTAAGGAGACATGGATTTAGTACTCGAGGTTGTAATGTTGGTTATTTTACAACGAACAAGGCATTCGACTCAGATATGCACTCAGAGAGAATAGTGGAAATAGTAGAAACAGTCATACTCAGATATGCACTCAGAAAGGGAATAGTCAAAAATAGTCACTCAGATATGCACTCAAAGAATAAAATAGTCATACTCAGATATGCACTCAGAAAGGGAATAGTAGAAAAAATAGTCACACTCAGATATGCACTCAGAAAGGGAATAGTCGTCATTGGAGAAAGGGAATAGGTCCATAAGATATGCACTCAGAAAGGAATAGTCGTCATACTCAGATATGCACTCCAATGCGAAAGGGAATAGTCAAAATAGTCATACTCATGCACTATAGTCAAAAATAGTCATACTCAGATATGAAAGGGGTCAGCAGATATGCATGACTCAGATATGCACTCAAAGAATAGTCAAAAATAGACTCAGATATGCACTATAAAAATAGTCATACTCAGATATGCACTCAAAGGGAATAGTCAAAAATAGTCTCACTCGAAAGGGAATAGAGTCACTCAGATATGCAAAGGAATAGTCAAAATAGTCATACTCAGATATCAGAAAGGGAATAGTCAAAAATAGTCAACTCAGTCAGTCAAAAATAGGATATGCACTCAGAAAGGGAATAGTCAAAAATAGTCACTCAGATATGCACTCAGAAAGGGAATAGTCAAAAACAGTCACTCATATGCACTCAGAAAGGGAATAGTAGAAAAAATAAGTCCACAGCCAAAAGAAATGAGCATCTGAAAGCCTACCCTCGCTTCCTTCAGCTCCAACAGCGCCACCTCGGCCATGGAGTAGGAGATGAACGAGTGCGGACACAGCGCGGCGGGGACGCAGAAGCTGCTTTCGGGGCAAAGGCGCTTCGGTCCCTCGTCTGGGGCGGAGATGGGGTCGGGCTCCACCGCCGAGTCCTGGGTGAGGGGGACCGTGCCGAAGCCAGGCCACGGGACGACGGTCAACCCTACGTCTTCTGGGTGGTGGGGGCACTGGTGTGATAAGGATCGGCTTTGTTGATTATTTCGATATATATATATATATATATATATTATTATATATATATATATATATATATATATATAATATAAATATATGTAATGCATCATTCCTATCATTCCTTCATGGTCCTGATAGATTAAATGTCAGATTTACACGATAAAGGATTCTTATGAGAGAAAAACAAGAGGGCATGAGCGATGAACAGGTTACTCAAGTGACAGTAAACAAAATTTTGATGTACAACATTGAATAATTGAAAGCACAAAGACCAATAGGAAGTTATTCATCTTCCATTGAGAAGTGCTAGGATTCCCTAAATACTTTTCCCAAGATAAGGTGACGGGTGCGGTGGCAAGCTAAAAGACAAGTCAATTAATGACATCTAGTGTGCAAGGGGAGGAGAGAGGGGGGGGAGGAGAGAGAGAGGGAGAGAGAGAGAGGGGAGAGAGGAGGGAGGAGAGAGAGAGAGAGAGAGAGAGAGAGAGAGAGAGAGAAGAGAGAGAGAGAGAGAGAGAGAGAGAGAGAGAGAGAGAGAGAGAGAGAGAGAGGAGGGGGGGGGCCCACGCACACACACATGGATAAGGAGACAGATAAGGAACACCTAATCCAACTCACGCAGCCATAGTACCACTCCGCAACGGAAGGCTCAAACGTCTCCTGCAACAGTTCTGTCGTGTTGCAACAGACAAGGCCCTCAGTGCTAATGGTCTTCCCGCACATGTACTGAAAGGGTTAAATATTGCAAGGCCAAACTCGAGCCACAGATTACAAACGTCAACATAAAATAATACTAATACTTATAATAGCAAAAATAATAGCAAAAAAAGAGAAAAAATAATAGTATCGGCAAAAATAAAAATGGAAATGGCAAAAATAATCATCATAGCAATAAGAACGATAACTCCCGACACTGGTTTCGTTCCACTTCCGCCTCACCCGAATGCCACCGGCCGTCGACGACTGCAAAAACCGGTTCTCCTCTCTGCACATCCTCCAGGGCACGCACACGTCGTCAGCGGCAGGACACGCGTACCGCACCTTCATCGACGTGCACGCTGGCCACAGGGACACGGCCGCCACGACGAACAGCATGTACTGAAAAGGTCGAAATTTGGGTTAGCATTTCTCGCTTAGCTTTTGAAATGGAGAGAGAGAGAGCCGACAGCTTGTGGTTAAGCTTTTAAATGGAGAAACTCGGGTTTTGTTTTTGACAGCTTGTGGTTAAGCAGGGCGGGGGATACCCAAGCCCATGGATGGATGGATTGATTAATATGATTCATCGCAGGAATTACATCAAGAACAGCTGATGGGAAGCCGACTGAAGTTTGTTCTACGTATGAAAACTAATTTCAGCGAACCGCCTCTGTCGCTCGCGGAAGAAACGCCCCTTTTCACAAAAGGCCAATCATTCACCTCCTCCCGAACTTCCATTGTCCTTTGATCCCCGGTATAATACACTTGCCAATTATGAGAAAAGCGAGAGCGAAGCGAGGTTTGTGGCACTTTCTCCCGAGAGCGGTTTTGAGGCCTGTTGTGTTCAGTCGTTCGATATATAAGGAAGTTCTCTATGGTTTAGGGAAGACTCGCTTGTTTTATGCCATCTTTCATTAAAATTGCTTTAGAAATCTCTCAAATGGAGTTTAGAACAGTAAATTAAACCCCCTTGTTTGGAACTTTGCAACGAAAGAATGGATGCATTCATTTCACACCAGATATGGAAATTCAGCTTAAAACTATTTCGCAGCACTCCCTGCGTTACCTCTCAAGAAATGAGGTCTTATTAAATAATCGAGAGGTTGAGGAGAGTTAATTTTCATTTTTTTTATTTTTTATTTTAGGAGCGTGTCAAGAACCAATCTCAATCGAATAATCCAAAACTTGAACCACGATAGCGACCTGTGATATACAAAAAAAAAAAAACTTCGACAATACAACCCTTTCCCGCAGCCTCTGACACCGCGCGTCCCTAAGCGACCGCCCAACACATTTACGAGTTGGGAGACATGAACTTGCTTGCGCTGATACGGACAAAACAGGCTTTAACGAGGATATTGGGCTTCGTTATAACAAGCGAGATAAAACTGGAATGTGTTTAAGATTTATGCGAATCCAACATGATCCTTTTGTGGGATTTGAATCGAGTCAAAGCGATTTCGAAGACTTGGGGGGGGGGGGAAGGGGAGGTTGGTATTATATTTGAATACTCAAGTGCCGTGGATAGGGGGAGGGGGAGGTTGGAGGCGGTATCAATCGATTCAGCTACACGAGCAATATCAGCTCTTAAACAAGGGAAAAAAAGTACTTTCCGAACAATAAGCCAAAATATTAGAAACCAGTTTACTGAAGGGTAGACAACAAGCGATGAGCAACAGGCAGAAGCAGGGAACAAGCCGCAAGGAAAGGAACGAAAGTGGGGAATGAAGCAACGCAGACAGGACAACCGTCACCCCCTCCCTCTCCCCTCCCCAGCACCCGTGGCCACACACCGCGTCCCCTCCCCTACCCTCCCCCCCCCTCTCCTCCCCTCCCCCTCTTTTTTTTAGAGAGAAATTCGTCTTTCCATTCATTAATTTCGAAAACAATGAATGTCGTGGTCACTACTGACCATCTGCGAAAAGGCAACTGGCGTCCGAAAGGAGATTTTAATTACCGGGCGCAGTCAGAGCAGCAAATTAGGAGTATTGGCTTCTTCAAGGTGCTGGGCCGACAGAGCTTCGTTTAGAAAGGTCGACGCACCTTGGAGATTAATCATTACTGTAAACTAATGCAAGCTTTCATTGGCACTGAATATTTTAAGTTACGTTTATTGAATGCCTACTGTTGGGATATATAGTTACTGAACTATATACCCAACTTGATTATTCATACAACCGAGACAAGTTATATTCGTCCATACAGTTCTCTCCTAATCCGGAAGGAAGCAAGCCAGATAGATTATAAATAAAATGCAATAATCTGAGGTTTCTCGCCCCAGTCTATCCAACACACGACAACCACCACCACCCGGCCTGCTCCCCTCCCCCCCACCCCCCACAACCGCCTAGGAACGCCAACAGTCAGTCACAACAGAAGGCAACGGAATCCCGCCCGAAACGGAGGACCTAAGCCCGCACGCCCGCACGCACGCCCGCACGCCCGCCCAACACATGTCCCGATCCCACGCTTCTCATTTAGATTTAGATATCACGGGCCATGTCCAAGCTAAGCGGGGAGCGGATTAGCGCACATTTCGCAGCAGCGGAAGGACCCGGCGATCGGAATGGCCAACGCGGGAAAAATCCTATTACAGATTAGCTATGGGAAGGAGAGGAGGGAGAGGGGAAAGGGGGAAAGGGAAAGGGGAGAAAGGGGAAAGGGAGAGGGGGAAAGGGGAAGGGAAGGGAAGGGAGGGAAGGGAGAAGGGAAGGGGGGGAGGGGAGGGAGGGGAGGGGAGGAAGGGAAAGAAAAGAGGGGAGGGGAGGGAAGGGAAAGAAAAAGGGGAGGGAGGAAGGGAAAAAAAGAGGGGAGGGGAGGGAAGGAAAGGAAAGGGGAAGGGGAGGGAAGGAAGGAAAGAAAAAGGGAGGGAAGGGGAGGGGAAGGGAGGGGAGGGAAGGGAAAGAAAAGAGGGGAAGGGAGGGAAGGAGGGAAAGAAAGGGGAGGGAAGGGAAGGGAAAGAAAAAAAGGGAAGGAAAGAAAGGGGAAAGGGAAGGGAAGGAGGGGAGGGAAGGGAAGGGAAAGAAATGAGGGGAGGGGAGGGAAGGGAAAAAAAGAGGGGAGGGGAGGGAGGGGAGGGGAGGGAAGGGAAAAGAAAGAAAGGAGGGGAGGGAGGGAAGGGAAAAGAAAGAAAGGAGGGGAGGGGGGGAGGGAAGGGAAAGAAAAGGGAGGGAGGAAAGGAAAGAAAAGGGGAGGGGAGGGGAGGTAAGGTGAGGGAAGGGAAAGAAAAAGAGGGAGGGGAGGGAAGAAAAGAAAAGAGGGGAGGGGAGGAAGGGAAAGAAAAGAGGGGAGGGAGGGAAGGGAAAGAAAAGAAGGGGAGGGGGAAAGGAAAGGAAAAAGGGGAGGGAGGGAAAGGAAAGGAGGGGGGGAGGAAAGGAAAGAAAAAGAGGGGGAGGAAGGGAAGGAGGGGGGAAGGGAAGGGGGGGAAGGGAAGGGGGGGGAAGGAAGGAGAGGGAAAGAGGTAAGGGAAGAGGAATATTTTAGGACATCAAGATTTATGGAGAGGTGGGATGCTAATATCACAAAACAATGAATGGCGTCACTGAAAAAATGGAAATGAAGAAATATAGTAGCTACAGTGTAGTCGGGTTCGGGGATAACACACAAAAGCATTACGAGAACCGATACTTAACGCCTCACAAATTTTAACTCCAGGACGCCCACTTGGTACCAAACCAGTAGCCGCGACAGGTAGGCGGTGGGAGGGGGTACCGAAGGAGTCCCCCGGCCAGTCCCAGCAACACCTTGGCTGACATCCCTCACCCCTCCCCCTCGCCCTCACCCCGCCCCCAAGATCGCCCCCCCCCCTACGTCCCCAGCCACTCGGTTCGTCTCCCTTCCCCTTCTCCCTTTTTCCTCCTCCATTCCTCTCCATTTTGAATCTCCCGCTACCCATTTGCTCCCCCCCCCCTCCGCCTCCCAACAGCCCCCGGCAACCCCGCGCCGCACAAGCACCGCCGCCGCCCCGCCCATAGCCCGCCCAACCCAAGTCATCACACCTTAATTACTAGCTTCAGTAATTAGCCATTACCGAGGCGGCTTCTCTCGACCGCGCATTGACGGAACGTTGGCCCCGAAATATTAAAAATACGAGGGGACAAGGTTCTCGTCTCAATGGACAGAGATGAGAAGGGGGGGAAATGAAAAGGAACGGAGGGGGGGAAAAGGAAAGGAGGGGAGGCAAGAGGGAAACAAAAGGACATTTTCATTACCCGGCCGTGATTCGGGGGCGGGCGGGCTACTTGACACTTTTTAGAAATCAATATTTTATGGTCTCCCTTTTGTGGTGTAATTGTAGTGCGGGGTAAACGCGCATTAGTCGTTACAAGTCGGGAAGGGAGAAGTAGAAAAAAAAGTAACTATATTGTGTATTATTAAACATTTACTTTTAAACGTGTATACTGAGTCAATTGTTCTTGACACGAGGAATACTACCTTTACAATTTACTGATACCTAACTTCACACGCAAGACAGAAGTACCTTGAGACCTTTTCACATTTACACCCCACATTGCATTTACTTTACAAGGTAATTTCCTCGCAAAAAAACTATTCGCAGAACGTAGTCTAAAATACTTTCGCTACACCGTCACGATATAATGCAAGCTATTAAGCACGCCGTTTTCCACGCATATCCCAAAATACGACGCGCAATTGCACCTATTAAGACGGTAGCAAGCACGCTACATTCTGCCATTCCATCCCGGAGTTTTGCCCGACGATTAATAGGCAAAGTGCAAGCTGACAACAGTACACAGGCCAGTTTAAGAACCCGGACTATCATCAACCGGTGACAACGTTAAAGTGGACAATATGGATGGTCAATAAACTACAGTGTCAAATTTTCGCTCGATTTAGTGCACGCTAACGATGCTTTCCGAGTTTAAAAGCAACCTTTGGTGGATATTCAGGGTCTATAAATAACGAGTTTGCCTTTGCACGTCTGACGCTGATTGGCAAGCTGTGCAAACATGTATCCAAACTAAATTTATACGGATTGCTTGCAAATAATCTAGCATACACAATGCAAATGATTCATGAAGTTACTGAGAAGGGAATGACGGCAAGATTAAAATGAACACGACGCCATAATTGTACTAAACTTCTGTATACTTAACACAAGATGGATGGTTACAAGCGGTCTTTATAATATACGAAGATCCTATCTCCATTTCATAAAATGAGTCATGTAAATGCCAAGTAAAAAGGGACTAGATTATTAACAAATGAAGCGAATTTGGTGGACGTGTAGAGTATCCACCTTTCTCCACCAGTAGTTCTAAGGATGAACAGGAAGCTACCTAACACAAACAATTTATCGAGGCTGCAAAATATTACTAAAAAAAAAATTTGTACTTATTCCACAATACAGACTATTAAGTTAACTTCAGAGGCCACCGAGAGGTTCTATATATATAGGAAATAAATTACCGTTTCTACCCCCTGCCCCATGAAGATTGATGGACGGCTGTCCCAATGTTCTACCACAACAAATTGTTAATACGAGGGGTGACGGTCAAGGAGCAGCAGCAAGAGTTACGAGGATTTGGGAGCTAATCATCCCGAAGATCCTCTCACCATTACCTAAGGGTAGCCAAGAGTTTTCTGACGAATAAAGGAATAGTCTTATTTGGGTTTTAAATTATCTCGTAGCTCATTTTGCGTCGCAGGAAGTGGCACGAATTTGTGTTGTCACAATTGCAGGACGACACGGCACTTGGGAGGCTTCTTGGCTTTCATCCTGTTCTCTCGTTTACCTTGTCTATGAAAATTTAATCACTTAGCATGCATTTAAGTAATTATATTAATTTAACTCCATCGCCTTTTAGCCTTTTTTCATATCTAAATGTCTAAATGTCCCAAGAAAACTCACCTTCATCTTTCCTCGGTTCTCAACAGCGATACCCAAAATGAACTCGAAGGGGAAGAGGCCCTCAGTACATCACGTCCTCCAGCAGAAGGCGCAGAAGGCGAGGAGGACCGGGGGGAAAGTCGCCGTGCCTGCCGAGGGCCTGGAAGGAACGGAGCGACGACGCGACGAACCAGACAGCCTTGCACTGGAGGAGGCAAAAGGCTTACCACTTCACCGGCTGCAGGACCGCTGGGAAGACGAGGCGTTCTGCTCACTGGTAAGATGGCCTCATTTCAGTCGTTAGGGTCGTCCGGCGTCGTTTCGGGGCGTGTGGTGGGTGGAAAATGCTCTCGTTCATAAGGGAAGCGGTTGTTTGCGGGGAAATCATTAGAGGTATTTGATGATTTCCAGCACCCTCAATTAACAGATGGGGTCGACATCCAGGTGTTTGATACCGTGGTAGTTGATACCTCAAAAGAGTCAAAGTTGAAATAATAAGATTATTATCACTGTTGCTATTGATGGTGATAATGATTATGAACAATATTATCACTGTCGTTGTTATTACTATTATTGATATTATCATCCTCATTTCCATTATAATCAACATCGGTTTTAGTGATTTCATTGGTGTTATTGCCATTTTTATTATTGTTACTGTTATCATTGTTATTGTTATTGCTATCATATCATTATTATCAGTATCATTGTTATCATTATTATCATCACCATCGCCAGCATTATCAGTATTATCATCATCATCATCATCATTGTTACTATTATTATTGTTATTATTTTCATTATTATTATTCTTTTAATTGTTATTGCTATTGTTATCGTTCTTCATATCATTATTGTTTTTCATTATTATCATTATTATTATTGTTACTATTGCCTTTGTTTTATTACTACTACTACTATTACTACTATTATTGTTATCATCATTAGTAGTAATACCATTGCTTTTATCATTTTGTCATTATTGGTGTTCATAACTTTATCATCATTATCATCATCATTATAGGTGGTATTTTATTATTAACATCATTAATGTTATCATCATATTCATTGCATTATCATCACCATTATTCTTTTATCATTATTATTGTTGTTGTTGCTGTTATCATTAAATCATGACAATATTTTTGGTTACTAGTATTATTATGATTATAATTTTGACTGTTATTTAATTAATGTGATTGTTATTTTGTTCGGGTATTATTTGTTATGTATTATGTTATATTATTGATATCTACGTATAGGTATTTATATTGGTATATATATGATTTAGTTATCTTATTTAATTTTAATTGTTACTCTAAGTGTCATTTAATAATTGTTATTATATTATATACATTATTCATTAGACTTTATCATATTAATAATCATCATAACCATATATCATCTCTAATTTATTATTACTTATATGAGTTTAACTATTATAAATAATTATCATTATATATTTTAAATTGTATAACCATTAGATTTCATATATATATAATTGATTTAATCAATTATCTCACACGTCTTTTAATTATTCTTATTTATATCATGAATACTCACTATAGTATTAGATTATACTGAAATTATCATAATGTAATATAGTATTACATTCTAATATATATATTTGTAACACAGTATTATTTATGTAATGTCATTATATAGCTTTTATTTTTTTTACTATTACTTATTATTTATGTCATATATATAGATATAGTAATATTCATTTAGACTTATGATATACAACATATTGACTTAACGAAACTTCTTGTATTAATTCAATTATTTTCTCATTGCTTCTTTTATTATTCATTGTTTTTACTTTTTCACTATCTCTTCTCTTACTTAGACCAGGATTCTTCAAGAAATTGTTTTCATTTGCTTCACTCACTACTCATAGGCGTATCTTATATACTATAAGTTTTATTATATATTTTTTTATATATCTACTTGTCTTCATGTTGTGTCGTTTATCTTCTCTCTCTCTTCTCTGTCTATATTATATTAGTGTATCTGTGATTCTGTGAGTGTTACTGTATCTGTCTTGTGATCTGTCTGCTGAGTGAGTCTGTATCTGTCTCATGTTCTCATCTCTACTCCTTATCTATCTCTCTACTTACTAGTATTACTTCTCATCTTATACTCTTCCTTACTCTCTCTTCTCTCTATCTATTCACTATCTCATCTCTCTCCTCTCTCTCTCTCTCTCTCTTCATCCCCTCCCTATCTATACTACGTACTCTCTCTACTATCTCTCTCTTCTCATTACTCTCTATCTACTCTCTTTTCTCATTCACTCTCATCATTCTCACTCACTACTCTCTCTCTCTCTCTCTCATTCTCATACTCACCATCACCATCTCTATTCTC